CCAGAATGCGTCGGTGGAAGATGATGTGCCGAAGGGGAAAGCTCAGGACCCACGCTGCGGTGGCAAAACGCGGAGCCCGTTTCCAACTCCCTGGAATCAGCCACCTGCCTTATGATTGGACGCACACTCGTTGTGGGACCCGATTTCGAGTCCTGAGCTGTTTAAGTGCATGTCGGGTATCGCGATAACGGGTACCAATAGGATGTATGGAGGTGGTATGATCTAAAGCCACGTGTAGGGCGTGATGGTGGGGATGGGCCCGGTCAAGAACAAGCTCGTTAGTTTCCTGATCGGATCGAAGGAGATCCGACAGTGAAACTGATTCGGATTCGGATATTGTTACTGGGCCGGCATGCACAAACTCGGTGTGCATGCGGCCATGGAACCTTCGCTTCATGAACAGCTTCGGCAGGCATGTTCCGGCGACAAGAGCAAAGGGGTGATGATTGCAGCGGCGAGCGACGCCGTCTGGAACAACGGCGCGGCCTGCTGGGGAAACCACCAGGTGAAGTGCGCGGGTGCTACGAACAGGCATTGTTGGGGATGGAGGAGCAAGAAAAAACAGAATACTATGATACGAGTAAAAAGGATCTTTTACTCAAGAAAACTGATGTAGTATTAAAAGCATTAAAAGCAGGAGGATTGAAAAGACACTTACAAGATACCAAATGCACACAGACTCTCTATCTTCCTCTCCTCAATCTCTCTTTCTCAATGTCTCTTGGTAGATGAACTACGGTCCTATTTATAGAACCTAATGACAACCACCCTATAACTACTAGATCATAAGGTAGTTATTGAAACTACTAGATCATGATCAAGTGGTTATTGAAATCATCATGTAACCACTAGATCATGATAACAATCTAGATAGATAACTATGAATCATATCTCAACACTTCCCCTTGATTCATAGTTGCATACACTAATTCACGACATAAGATAAACATGCTTTCGGACTGGAAGTGATTTGGTGAGGATATCCGTAACTTGCTCATCCGTTCCATAATACTTCATTGTGATGGCTCCACTTGCCTGAAGTACTCTTTAAAGCTCCTGCACAATCACTATTAGTGAAACCAAATAATTTGCATTTAAATTTTGTTTTGAACATCCATTTTAACCCAATCACTTTCTTTTCTTTCGGTAGATCCATTAGCTCCCAAGTTTCATTCTTCTCAGTTGACTTGATTTCCTCCTTCATCTTTCATTGCTTTTCTCCATTCCTCTTTTTTAACTGCTTCATCAAAAGTTGTCGAATCTGAAATAAACAAAGCAAATGTTGAGTTATAAATTTTTGTCAGTGATCTGAAATTTCTTGAAGGGGTTCATCTGAGGAATCCGAATTTGAACTGCTATTGGGTGAGGTTGATGATGAATTTGTTGGAGCAGGATCCGTCACTTGATTCTGCGGAGTGTCTAGTTCTACTGGAATCTGCATTTGTGTTTCACCTTTATTGGTCTCCCAATTCCAACTTGCCCTTTCATCAAACATAACATTTCTGTTAATAATAACTTTGCCACTAACAGGATTATATAATCGATATGCTTTAGATTGTAAAGAATAACCAATTAAAATGCATTTCTCTGATTTTTCATCAAGCTTGTGATGATTTTGTGAATTCACTAAAGCATAAGCAATACAACCAAAAATTCTTAGATGTCTAACACTTGGTTTCATACCATACCAAGCCTCAAAAGGAGTTCGATTCATAACAGCCTTTGTTGGTGAAATATTCAACAAATAAACTGCTGTTGCAACTGCTTCTGCCCAAAACTGATTTGGAAGATGTTTTCCTTTAAGCAAACTTCTTGCCATTTCAACGACAGTCCGATTCTTACGCTCAGCTACACCATTTTGCTCCGGTGTATATGGTGCTGTCAATTCTCTGTGAATACCATTTTCTTCACAAAAAGAACTAAACTCATTAGATAAAAATTCACCACCTCTATCTGTCCGAAGTGTCTTTATATATCTACCACTTTGTTTTTCTACAAGTGCCTTAAACTTTCGAAAATTATCAAATGTTTCAGATTTCAATCTCAAAAAATATACCCAACTCATGCGACTATAATCATCCGTAAACAATAAAAAATATTGACTTCCACCAAATGATTTTGTATTCATAGGTCCACATAAGTCAGCATGAACTAATTCAAGACAATTAGATGCTCTCCATGCTTTTCCAATAGGAAATGGTTTTCTACTTTGTTTGCCATAAATACATCCTTCACATACATCAAATGTATTAATCTTAGGCAATCCAAAAACCATTCCTTTTTGACTTAACAACCTTAAACCTTTAATGTTAAGGTGTCCATATCTTAAATGTCATAGACTAGACTCATTCTTTTGAGTTGTGATAAGCGCATGTCTTTCAATATTTGACACATCAAGTGGAAACATCTTGTTTTGTGTCATGCAAACATTTACTATAATCAAACCAGATTTCTTATCTCTAATAGTGCATGAACCATCATCAAATATTACTGAATATCAATCATTTACTAATTGTCCAACACTCAACAAGTTATATGATAAAGTAGGAACAAAGAAAACATTATCAAGGTATTTTACCTTTCCTTGATTTATCTTCACCTCAATTGTTCCTTTCCCTCCACTTAGATCTGCTTGTTATCTCCAAGTCTAACATTCAACTTGTGAGTCTCATCAATATCTCTAAATATTGATTTTATGCCTGACATATGATTAGAACATCCACTATCCAGAAACCAAATATAATTTGCGATGTTATGAGTCATAAACAACTTACTATTTTCTTCATTTTTCTCCACATAGCTTGTTTGCTTTTCTCTTTTCCAGCAATCTGCCTTCATGTGACCAAACTTTTTACAATAGTGACATTGAATTCCACTTTTGTAATTTTTTTTATCATAATTTGATTGCCCTTGTTCATCATAGTGTCCTCTTCCTCTTCCATTTCCTCTACCACGAAATCCTCCTCTGCCACGTCCTCTTCCTGCTGATTTTTTGTCTTCTTTTGAAGTAGAAGACTCCCCCTTAACCTGAAATGCTTTTTCTTCACTTTTTTCAAGTGACCTGTTCAACCTTACTTCATGTGCTTGCAAGGAACCCATTAGTTCATCAAATGAATATGTAGATAAATCTTTTGATTCCTCAATTGCGGCAACAACATGATCAAATTTCGGAGTTAAACTTCTCAAAACTTTTGCAACAATTATATGATCAGGAAGATGTTCACCATAAGATTTCATTTGACTAACAATTTCAGTCACTCGAGAAAGAAAATCTTGCACCGATTCATTGCTTTTCATGAACAAAATTTCAAACTCACGACGGAGGGTTTGAAGTTTTACCGTAATCACCCTTGATGAGCCTTGAAATTCATTTTGAAGTATCAACCAGGCTTGCTTTGAGGTTGTCGCTGCTGCAATTCTTGAGAAGATCGTCTCATGTACAGCTTGTTGAATGAAGAACAATGCCTTTGAGTCCTTCTTTCTATTCTCCCTCAGCCTGATTTCGTCATTTGGATCTGCATATCCATTCTTTATTAAGTTCCAAAGATCTTGAGACTTGAATAGAGTCTTCATCTTGATACTCCAAAATTCATAACTTTTGCCCGAGAAGATGGGGATAAGGGGTTGAGACACAGAATTACCATTGAAAGCCATAATGCCCAGTTCAGATTGAAACACGGGCTCTGATACTACAAATGTTGGGGATGAAAGAGCAAGAAAAAATAGAATACTACGATACGAGTAAAAAGGATCTTTTTGACTCAAGAAAACTGATGTAGTATTAAAAGCAGGAGGATTGAAAAGACACTTACAAGATACCAAATGCACACAGACTCTCTATCTTCCTCTCCTCAATCTCTCTTTATCAATGTCTCTTGCTAGATGAACTACGGTCCTATTTATAGGACCTAATGACAACCACCCTATAACTACTAGATTATAAGGTAGTTATTGAAACTACTAGATCATGATCAAGTGGTTATTGAAATCATCATGTAACCACTAGATCATGATAACAATCTAGATAGATAACTATGAATCATATCTCAACAGGCATCCCCAGACATAGCCATGCCGAGGGACCGGCGTCGTCGTCACTATCGTCGACTACCGCCCGTTTGGGCGTCACGGCACCATCGATCAACCTATCTGATTGGACCTAATTAATGAGTATTTGACTACGAATAAAGACTCGGGACCTACAAAATATGATTATCTATAAATAATGATAAGATAAATATGAAATATTTTTTTTTATTATAATATATATATATATATATATATATATATATATATATAATTCTAATATGTAATGTAATTTGTAAGAGTAATATAATACAATTTCACACCACAAAACCAATTACAAAACATAGGCCTAACTTTGTCTCAGTAGCTCAAACAGTGTGTTGACCGACCCATTCTAATCAACGTGAGATGTGGGCTCCTACCCATGCAGGATTGACATGCCAAAACTTGGGTATTGCAACGCCAAGCACGATAATATCAAATGAATGATAGAGATCGGAAGAGTCCAAATAATGCGAGCAAGAAAAAAAAGGTCATGCTCGGACCACATAAAGATAAATAAAGGATGCTCGACAGTCACCTAACGCCACCTCTGTTCTTTTCTTTGCTTTACTAAAGGTGATTGAGATTAAAGAAGAGACATTTGCGATTGGATTCTTTATAGTAGCCACAAATTGGGTCCCTAAGAATTCCAAGAATGCTATTGATGAGTGGGCGTGTGAGAATAGAATGTGGTTCTTGACTTCCATCTCTTGGGAAGTCTCTTGACGAGGAGGGGACAATGGGTAGCTATGAGATCCGATAGTGGGTCAGATTCTTTTTCCAATCAATTTAAATCATATTAAATTAAGGCTGATAAAGGTGTGTATATATAATTTAAAATATAAATATGAGAGAAGAAAGTTTTTGGTTTGTATTTGTTTTTGTTTTATAAAGAATAAAGGATGAAGAAGACGAGATTTGAGATCAGAATCTTACTATAAATAATAAACATTTGCATTTATTGTATTATTAATACGCTGCAATTGTTACAATAATGTTGGAATTTAAGTACAAGTAGATCGATGTCGGCGTCGAAGAGAGATGCTGCACTTGCTCTTGCCCTGTCTCGATCATGGCTCGTCATGGTGGCGCAGGGCCTTGTAGGTGGTGTATCCAGATGCCGGGTTTTTATCCCTGGCCCCGTCCACTGCCGGGGCCGACGATGCGGCGGAATCCAGCGCGTCCCTGCCGGCCCACGGCAGGTGGCATGGAATGTACTGCGCGTTGGGGCAGGTGATCTTGGGGCGGTTCAGGAACCAGGCGCACGCCTCCGGCGGGCGCTGGTTGGGCAGCCCTGGAATGCAGTTCTTTCTCACGTCCAACACCTTCTGCTGGATCAAGCCGGCGCAGCTGGGCGCCACCGACGTGAAGTAGTTGTCGGAGAGCGAGAGGTTCGCCAGGTGGCCGTACTTAGCCAGCTGGCACACCACGTCCGGCACCTCCCCGTAGAGCAGATTCCCCGCCAGGTTGAGCTGTTCCACCTTCTGCAAGCACCCGAAGGAGAGGGGGATGGGGCCGGTGATCTGGTTGGACCCGGCGTCGAACACCGTGGCCCTCTTTAGCAGCCCTGTTTCGTAGGGGAGGCAGCCGGAGAGCCGGTTGCCGAGGAACAGGACCTCGATCAGGGTGTCGCAGGCCTTGCCGATGGAGCTGGGGATGGGGCCGGTGAAGTCGTTGTTGGCGAGGGTGAGGTAGGCGGCGGTGGTGCTGCCGAGGTTGGCCGGGATGTTCTGGGTGAACCCGTTGTTGTTGAGGAAGAGCACGTCGGTGCGGATGAGGAAGACGGCGGGTGGGACGGGGCCGGCGTAGCCGTTGTAGCGGAGGTCGAGGAAGGCGAGGTCGACGAGTGGGAGCACGCTGGCGGGGAAGCCGCCGGAGAGGCGGTTGTTGCTAAGGTCGAGCTCGTAGAAGAAGGGGAGGCTGGCGAGGGCGGGGACGGTACCGCCGAAGCTGTTGGAGTTGGCGTGGAAGAGCGCAAGGTCGGGAAGCTGGTCGACGAAGCCGCAGACGGTAGGGGCGGAGAGGGTGAATCCGTTGAAGTCAACGGAGGCGATGGTGCGCATGTTGCTAAGCCCCGGCGGGGTCTCGCAGTAGAAGCCTTGGTAGCCGCGGCCGTCGTTGTTGCAGATGCGGAACCCCGTCCAGGAGCCGGTCTTGTTCTTGGGGTCGCAGGTGACGGTCTGCTTGAAGCGCTGGATGACGAAGTACGCGCGGTACTGCAGGATGTTCTCGAAGTCGCTCGGCTGCGGCTGCCGCGGAGGAGGAGGAGGGCACTCGGGCTGAGGTGTCGAAGGTGCAGCGCCACCACCGACACCGACGCCGATGCCGATGCCGATCTCGAGGGCTTCTCTGTCGCTGCCACTGCTGCTGCTTAGGGTGGGAACGAGCAGTACAGACAGGAATACTAATCGCACGAACCGGAAGCTGCGTCCAAAACCCATGTCTTGTGTCTGACAAGTAATCGCTTCTCACGTTTATGTTATATATTCCTCAACGAGAAAGGTATCAGGTCGTGAGACGAAACTAATGAGTGGGAGACGAATACAGACAGACACAGCTGGAAGATTTGGCCATTGTGATGTATGTTAGTGTCAACGTATTTATGCCGTGGCCTCGGGCCAATACGATTGGGATTGGGTTTGGATATGTATGATTTGAGATTTTTCTGAACGATCCTTGAGACTGTTAAGATAGCCGACCGCAGTGGTTCGATCACAACGGGGTCATTATTTTCTCCGGGAGGGGGACCCCTCGCCTGGGCCTTCGGTGGGAGGTACTCCGTCTTCGTCCCTGCACACAGGTCGGGTCGGGAGAGTTCGGCCCGACCCCTTCGACGATCAAGTTAGTCGATAGTCTCAGGAGGATTTTCTTATTTTATCTCTCTCTCTCTTCGTTCCGAACGTGAAAGTTTTTATAGGGAAGGTCACCGCTTCCTGATATGTCCGCTTATGGGGAGCAGGGTTGTACCTTAGATAACGTCTGACATCGACATTAGCGTTGCGTGAAGGACCGGGCTCCTGCAGGATGGCGACATGCCTTGATCGATGTCTTGGTTTGTTTCGATCGGACACCATCAGGTCAGATCGAGGCAGGCAACCCTCGCAACTCCTCGGTCTGTGTAACCTAGGAGACGTCACCCGGGAGCAGATAACATTAGTTCGTATCCCATCATTATTATTGCCCTCGTCAATGTATGTATCAGAGCTCCTCGTGAAATGATTGAAGAGAAAGAAGAGGGGTAGCTCTCGAGTCCACGTTAATGGTGGTTGAGAGATAGCAGTCGTATATACCCATGCATCAAACTGTCGGCTGCTGCTGCGAGTGGTACCAACTTGCAGTCGGCTGCTTGTGTCACGTCACTGTACTAACGTCTCTCCCCCACCCTAAGTCTGCTGGAAGTCAAGTCCACGGAGAAAGATAATATAAACATATTCTTCATATTAAATTAATGAGTTAATTCTTCTACCGAACAGAGCTTGTAATTGCAGAAATAGCAAACTAATTTAGCTGTTTAATGATGGGAACAGATCACACTTTGGCCTCACAACACACCACATAAGCCACTAATTGTCCGGGTCAAGAAACTAACATCATCCACGATTTAGCCAACCTCCCGCCGAAAGCTCAACCATCGGCCAACGTCCATGGAAGGGCTTCCTTTCTCTTCTCCTTCTCTCTCTCTCTCCCTCTTCTCTCGTTCCCTTTCCTCTACTGCTTGCACTAATTATGCTATAGCAGCCAATCGAAACCCAAAGCAACAGCTGGTGGACATGGAGACCGAGATGAAACAAATGACGTCCAAGTCCGAGTCCTGTCGAAGCCGCAGCACCCTCGACGCCCGCCGCGACCGCCACCATTACACCAGCCTCCGTGACATCATCATCCTCCACCGCCACCGCCACCGCCACCACCCCGCCTACGCTCCCAGAGCAAGTCGCAGCGAGAGCTGCATCGTGATGACGTGGTGGCGGCCGCGGGGGCAGCGCGCGCCGGGCTGGCACGCGTGCGTGCGCGACCCGTTCGAGCGCTGCGTCGGCTTCGTGGCGCGGTCGGTCAGCCGCATCCTCGCCCGCGTCGTCGCCCACCTCGGCAGGGTTTGCGCCTGGGGACGGACTTCCATGCGCAGCTCCACGTCCGTGTGAGTTGTTCCTACGCTGCAGGAAAACGTGTCATTTCCTTTGCTGCTTCTTCTTCTTCTTCTTCTTTCTTCCAATACACTTCATGCAACTTCTTGTTAATAATGGTGGTAGCGTGTGCAATGTGATGGCTTATTTTGCATGTCACTGTAAATTATGGAGAGCTGCTGAACATAAACATCGACTTCAATGTTATATGAAAGCCATCATCTACCATCGGTTGATAGACTAGATTTTACTCGTTGACATGTATCAAGAACAGGAAGAGTCAAAAAGAATAGAGGGATGTATATTTGAACGCTAAAAATCTCAAAGAACATGCAACAAAATATGCTGACTTGCTATAAACGACGATTAATGTAGTATTCACTAAGAAAATGGAGTTCTCAAGTATTTTTCCAGTGCCATAACATTTTTGTCTGAGCTGCATCGCATGATCTTTGTGATAATGAGTGCTAATTGAGACAGTTCCATCATTCAACTCGAATTGCTGATCCCAATCCTCGTGGAGGTATAAAGATAACTATTTGAAGACAAGTCGTAGAATGCTGCAATCCGGTGTGTTCTATGGATCTTGACATGAAGCTGGAAAATGCCTGATCATCAATGACTCATGTTTAGTTGTTGGGAAGCAAATAAGATGAACATTTGAAAGTTATTTAAATTCATTTTTACAGACCTCTGTGGCACGCATCGGTGCCGATTTGTCGATCAGTTTTGGCCTCTTTCTACCGACGAATCATGCTTCTCTTCGTCATGAGTGGCGTGCTTACTCCATGATGGCATACTCTTTCTTGAAGTGTGTGATTCTTGATTGCTAACCATCATTTGGGATGGAAGCTCAGGTGGCGAATCGATCCATGTAGTGCGCTTTGCAGCAATAGTTGCCTCGACAGCAGGATCTATATCCCATCTGCATGCACAAAGTAGCCAAATTTAACATTGAAAATAATGTGATGGAAGTTGATCGAGCACAAGCGAGCATTTTATTCAAGGCAAGGCTGATCAAATGATAAGAGGAAGATGATGCCAGACGAGATTATTTAATTAATGCCATCATAAGAAATGATTATTTAATTAGTGCCTAAGGAGAAGAAATTTAACAGAAAATTTCAAATTTAATCGTACTACAACTTGATTCTATGATACAATTCATCGCCGCATTAGAACAGGGCATATCGAGGGTATTATTTTGTCGATTTGTAAAATATGGAGAGAAAGAACAACCATAATTAAATTGTGATAGAATAATGTATGTAAAAGACAGTAGCCAAATATCTGTTGTTCTATCATAGTCAAAATGTAAGAAGTCAAACAACGTGATCAGTCGAAACAATCTATAATTACAGAGGACACAAGAGTGATGACCCTCTTTGCTATTAAGAAAGATCACCATATGAATGTTTCTGTGTTAGAGGTAGCTATTAATGATGTCCTTAGAAAATGACCATCAAGTCAAGTGGTTGCGAAGAGTACTGCAATTTGATCTATGAAGTGCAAGATGAAGTCCAACCACTTTCACGGTCAATTTAATTAGGAGGTCCTAGTCACTGTGAATCCACAACCCAGCAAAAGAATTCAATGTGTAATTTATTAACCATCTCGGAGAGTAGATGAGGACCATGAATGACAAAAACATTAAGGAGCACATGACATAGGGTCTCATGTAAAAGGAGCACTTCGAGTTTGGTAAGGAAACAAAGAATTTAACCTGCGACACGCAAATGCTGAGTAAAATCTTTGAACCTTCATGACATTATCGATAACCTGATTAGTTAAGGATTAAAAGTGCATATCACTTTTAGGTGATTTATGTGGTCGAATGGCATGTCTTTAGCATCCTCGAGGTTTGTACTCTACAGGAAAAGCAGAATTTTCTTCTTTCTACTTAGAACCCTGTCCAACCTAACCACAGATTGGATGATTACAGATCAGAAAAGTAGTCTAAAATTCAAGTCCAATAAGGATCCTAAGTACCTATGGGTCCTCCCTGATATAGAACAACTAGGAAAGTCTAGGCGCACACCGGCCTGATACTCTAGGCCTCTTTCCTAAACAATCTGTTTTTGATGTATGATCATCACGTATTCTCGATGCATGAACAGTGGATCATGTCTCCTCCATCCATGGACCATCCAAAACCTAGTTCCTTTGGTTTCTGGATTTACATCCCATGTCACCACCTGAAGGGTCTAAGACTACTTTCAGAACCCACAATTATCCCCCCAATTCTGGTGCAGGTCGAGATCCCCAAGCCTGAACTATTCCAAGATCAATCTGGCAACATATGAAACTCAAAATATGATCCCACAAACAATGATATGCAGAACAAATTACTAAGCAACATGGCAATATGGATGCAGTAATTACACAAGGAGTACCATAAACTTTAAGGAGCAGAATGCTAAGAATCAGGGATGTAGTCCCATCTTTCATGTACCAAAACGTTTAGATGCATAAAGTAATCCCAAATAAGAATCAATCAAATAATTGCAAAGTGCAAAACAAAGAACATGTGGATTCTATGTTAGTAGTATAAAAAATAATTGATTCCTCCTATGAAAGATTACTCTCAAGAACCATCAGAGGAAAGTTGAAGCTTCAGAGAGCAATTAGTATCAGACATGACATATTACTCGTGAACATTTGGAGTAAGCAAAGTTCATACAAGAACAACAACAATGATCAGAACAAAAGTTTTGTATACTAACCCTGGTGGGAACTTGCTGTCATGGCGGGCTTCGATGCGGAGCCACCAAAGAAGAACCTTCTTACCGCAATTCCCCAGAGGCTCGATGAAGGAGGCATCCTTCAACAGAACCAGCGGATTCTCAATCTGCTCTCCAACCTTGCCGACGGCATCGAGATCCCGAACCCACTCGGGCTTTCCTTCGGCCTCCCTCCACAGTAATCTCGAGTTCAGCACGAACCCGGCCCACTCCATCTTCGCCCGCAGCATGGTTTTGGCCGCACCAACGAACGTGGCGCCAGTGTGCGGAAGAGGGTTGTAGATGTGCCACCCGACCAAGTCGCCAGAGGAGTTGCAAGCCGGGCCTTGGATGGGCACGGGGGATTTGTCCTCCTCGCCCGCCCCGGATCGCCCGGAGTGGGCGAGGATTCCGATGGAGACGGCGCCCACCCACTTCACCTTCTGCGCCTCGTCGAACAGCTCCATGCTGTGCACATTGCTGTCGTCGGCGAAAACCACGACCCCGTCCATTCTCCTCTCCCTCACCACTCTGTTTCCAAGAAGACAAAATCAAGATCCAGTTTATATACGGAACGCCAAATCAAGATCCAAAATTTATCGTCGGATTTGGCGTAGCTTGAAGGGTGCGGGGGGGAATTGCCGTACCTGAGGGCGCGGAGGCGCATACGGGCTTCGGTGAGGCGGCGGTCGGCCCAGTTGTCGGGCATGGGATCCGAGAAGGAGATGTGAAGGAAGGGGAGGCCAGAGCGGGCGAGGAGGGTGGTGGTCTCGTTCGAGGAATCGCCGGCTGGTGCGGCCTCGATGACGAGCCAGGTGAGGGGGTAGGGGACAAGCAGGAGGGTGTGGAGGAGGCTGGTGAGGTGGAGCGCCTGGAAGGTGCGGACGTAGGTCGGGGTCACGACGATGAGCCGGCGAGGTGTCCGCACGCCGTACTGCAGCCGTTGCTCCCGCTGCACTCGCTCGATGATCCAGTGCGCCTGCATCACCTCCGTCGGGTCCGGGTACGGCCACTGCCGGATGTGGATCCCATGCCGGCCCACCACCACGCGACTCTGCGTCGTGTTGGCCGCCGCAAGAGACGCCTCAGCCGACGTCGCCGGGGGAGGGGGCGTGGTGGGGAGGGAGACGGCCAGGGTCTGAGTGCGGGTGGTGGTGGTCGTAGTGGTGGTGGTGGTCATGGTGGTGGTGGTGGTGGCGGCGTGGATGATGGGGGCGGAGGTGAAGACGGTGGAGGTGGAGGAGGTGGTGAAGGTGGAAGATGGGGAGGAGAAGAGGAGGAAGAAGACAAGACGAGAGAAGCGGAAACCGAGGACGAGGCTGATGACGCAGCAGAGGCCATGGAGGACGATCCAGAACACGGCGGAGGGCGAGCGGAGTATGCCGTCGGTCTGTCCGGCACCACCACCGACCTCCGGCGGCCTGTGACCACCGCCCCGGCGGTTGGTCTGGTTCTGGAGCAAAGACAGCTTCATATCTCCGCTCCTCGCTCCTCTTCCCCTCCTCCGCCTCCGCCTTGGCTGTCTGAGGAGGCCGTCGTCGGAAGGCAAGAGTGTGAATAACAATTATGAGTAAAGCTGGTACGTTGTCACGTTAAATTACTGAATGATAATGAGCGAGAGGGAGGGGATGATGTGACAGTAATGAAAACGAGGTTTGGTGAGAAGCAGCAGCGCAAGAAAACAGATGTGGGGTTGGAGCTATGAGGGTGGAGTAATGCCTAAGTATGGAGGAGGCCGAAGAAGAGGCGGAATGCTTTGGTTTGAAGGGAGGACGGAGGAAGAGGGAAAGAATGGGCGCGGGGAGAGGGAGAAGGTAGCGTGGACTGGCGGGGAAGTTGGTGGAGCCCAAATTGGGTGCGAACGCTGATTGGACAGATTAGGAAGCTTTCGTTTTCTCCGTCAGGTAAACGACTGGAAAGAGGGTTCGGAGGACGGTCCGAATCGCCCATTTCCTGGTGATTTGCGTAAACCCGCCGCCTCAGGAACGGCTCATAGTTACTGCACCTAATTCGATTTATACGATTGGAACAGATCATAGTTACTGGACCTAATTGAACGTGTACGTACGGCTCGATCGGATTCACATTTTTTGTGTGCATGGTTTATCTATAGATCATTGACAACCACCACAATTTCCCTCACATTTGAAGTCAAGGAAAAAATTACTCATATATTTGACCACCACATATTAAATTGGTCGCCCACTTTTCTTGAAGGCGCCATCAAACTAGGAAAGAATTGATGGGGATGGATGTGACCATAATTGAGAACAGGAAATATATCAGCAAATATATATATATATTCTAATATGATTCGACTACTTTGTCCAACATAATAATCGGAGAACAAATTAACAAAACTCTAACATCACTTGACAGGAAACTTGGAAAGATTTTTCCGCATACATTCATTCCCAGCCTGATCGATGATCGAATTGGGTCGTGTGAGTTAGGCAGATTGCCATTGCTAATGTCATACAGGAGAGGTGAGGTCCATGATGGAAGTACATGTGTTTCCAAGTGCCTGAGTGCCAAAGTCGACATCAGAACCAAGTGATCAGGAAAGACACACAGTGTTCTGCAGGGTTCAGACCACCAATTTCCAGTCAACAAATTATGTCAGCCGTTCCACTCCGGTCATCTGCAGCATGAATAAGTAAGTGTGGAGAGAGGTGGGTGGAAGTCCCATCGACGTATTCAACTTTTCCAAGCTAATTAGTTGTCACAGCACCGACGCGTCGGGCAAAGCCGACGCCAGGGTCGTCGTTTCTGTCATCGAAATCAGACCGGACAACGATCCGCTTGTGGGATCGATTCAATGATTCACTACTGAACCGGCCGGTCCAATCCGGTTGTGGGATGACATACTTGTGGAGCCCTGTGATGGGATTTCCTCCGGACATGCCTAATTTAATGTCAAGGCCTAACACATGTGCTACCATGTGGAAGTGAGGCTGCTGGCCTTACAAAATGTCAAAGACTGGTAGACGAGGTTTTCTAAGTCCAGCAAGACAGAGACATGAGGGTTCTCTGAAACCTCTTTTTGACTCCAGGTTGAAGAATAGTACATGGGAAGAATAGATAGATGAACAACTCACAAATAATGCAATCGATGGAGTGGCACCCATCGATCCTACAGAATTATGGTTGAAGGTTGCATGCCTATTCAATGACCAGCATTATGCAGAATAAAGAAGATGAAGAACAGAAGAGAAGGGAAGATGTGTTGTTACCATGGTGGCTGTGATGTCACTGGTGAGGGGTGGGTTGATCATGGACTGATATGGAAGCTCCATAGCTTTCGGTGACTCCCAAGTCCTAAGCAACATTAAGGAAAATTTTCTTAAATTGTTGCAAATGAACTATAAACATGTCATACTGCACACACTATGCTTAGCAGCTTTGACACTAAATGAGTATCTGACTCATGAATATTATGGATACTTACAGCATTCACGAATTTGAGACAGCAGAATTCGAGAACAATTCGTTCGACCGTCGCCGCCGATATCCTGTTTAAACATAAACACCTAGAGATGAGCCAGAGTTTAGGAAAGGATACCAGACTCTGACTTCTTAGCTGAAACATACAAAGGTTGTTAGCTGTTCTGTGCCGAGCTAAGTCAAGGCAATACTTTGGTAAGAGGGAAAAAAAACTTTCAGCAGTTTTCAGGTGCTTTTTGAGAAGTACTAATCAAGAAATTAGGTTGCCACATTTGTATCATGTCATACAGGAAATAGAACATTTTTTTCACACCACTGCAATCATGCATAAACTTTTAATTACCCAGGCAGACGATAGCCAGAAAGAATTATGAACTTACAAAGAGAGCTTCAACAGTCGACCGACCTCAACAGTTCTCTTCTTTCCGATATATCTGCGGGACAGATAACGATAGTGAAGTCACTAAATGTACAAGACTTAATGTTTACTGCCCCAATATCTAAGATTTCTAAGCATTAAGATGCAAATTCTAGATTCATAAACTGGTATAAGCAAATTTCTGATCTCTTCTTGACCCAGACGTAACAATCAATCAAAGAAGACATGGGGTCGGATCGACAATATTTAAACAACCTAATTATTACAATAAGATTTGTCTGATTCCTTCATGATTCAGTCTGTCACTCCAGTTTACCGCATATTGTACACATGACAGGTTATAATTTGCTTTCTATTTGGCACCTTGAATCTTTTTCTTAACACTGGTTTCATTTCATTATAGACCAACTAAAGAAGAAGAAGCTCAACATGTTCTGTAAAGAACCCAGTAAGTAATTCAATCTAAAAATATTTAACCTCTAGAAGTAGGATCAGAATTTTCTCTAAGTTAACTTAAAAAAGTTCAAATTGAAGAAGTATAATTTGATCAAAGGTAAGCTATTGTCTCACCAACTAGCCAGAGAGACGCAAACCCCTCCTCAAGGGGATTCCTACTTTCTCTCCTCAGCCTCTAGGGTATTAAGGCACTTCCCATTGTTGTGCCCTCTAGAGCTAAGTTATGTGGTTGAAAATACATGCTACACATATATCTCATCCTAGGAGAGAATTTTTGTAATATATATCAGAATGAAAGGATTGAGAGCATTTTTGTAATACATACATCGCTCTTGAACTTGAAATGATAAATAGACTAAAAGTAGGCTGAAGATGATTAGCATAGTTCTTGTATCCAGAATATAATACTCAGGACCAGGCTAAATTGTCTATTGTACACCTCAGAATGGTAAGAGAATCATCCAGTAAATAAATTCTAAAGAAACAACTTTGTCCGATCGAAAACTAAGATGATCGTCTTGCTGAGCATATCCGAGCATAAAGAAGAAATAATCTAGGTATGTCTTTGGAATGATTATTAGACATCAAAATTCAGACCTTCCATAAACATGTCTAAGTACCAAAAAATCACTGCAAACAAAAAACATAATGAAATAACTTGATCATGAAGTTACATGCCACCTCTAGACAATACCATCTTCATGGAAGAATCAATAGTAGAAATGTGATGACATGTCCATCTGTACAAAGAGGAATATTGAGTACCTATTAGGTGAACATTAACCTATATCAATATCACAGGTAAGCCTAGAAACAAACATAATCATTTTAAGACATATGTAGTTTGAACTTTCAAAATAGTTTCCCTAAAGTGTTTGTGACTTATTTATTTCACCTTCTGTATTGTTATTGGAAAACGACATGGCAACAGTTGGGTTCCGCATGGACCTCATCACTGCCACCGAATCTCAAGACAAGTATTCGAGAGATGTAAGTCACAGACAGGTCGAGAAAGTTATCCACAAGCACTGATCATCTAAGAAAGAATGGAACAAGTTGTACATAAAGATCAATGGGCTCAACTAAAGATTCATGTAACACATCCTAAACAGACAAATGACAACATATCATTCCAAAGAAAAGAAATATACAGATAAAAACCAGCAATAGGCACAACAACAATACTATCATTGTCATGAAAAATTTAATCGAGTCACCAATAGATGCATGGATAGCTGAAGATCAACACAAGCAGCAAAAGAGATCTTCTCTTTCATGGCTCATGAGAATCACCGCTCCTGCCCGACAATTTCCTGAGAGTGGATGCTAAGGAATTCCTCATTGCTCGAAGGGAGCACATTTGCAAATCTCCTCTACCTCGTTTTCCTCCATCCCGCTTTCAGTCATGTTCACATCCTGCTCCTGCAGCCGGATAGCAAATGCAAATAAATGAACTAGTCATCTTTCAAGTAGCTTTAACATATTTCAGTTGGCAACTGAAATATCAGCTCTCGTGATTTGGTTGTATCATACCCATTTAATCTAAAATAGAGTTAATATCCAAACTTTAGGCAACCAAAAGTGTGAACAAAAACGCAACATGTAGGGAACAGAGAGAAAGCAACAAAGAACATTACATCATTAGGCCAATCTAGAGTAAAGGCAATGGGCATGATTTACCTGAATTATATACCAATATATACATATGATTGTACAATTTATCTACTCTAAATGGTCTATGGTAAAATGTTCTGTTTTCAACCTTTAGACCAAAATTTAGAATAGAAGCATACAATAATTGCAAGTCCATTTGGTAGCTAAGAACCTCCTTCAGGCCATGGCTCTGTACATTAGTGTCCAGAAAATAATGGCATGCTCAATAAACGTCAACGCTGCAGGAAAAAAAGGCATGTGAAACTTCATTACTTCACCTTCTGCATGAAAGCACATTTCTAAGCAGGCCAAAATATGAGAAGCAATATACTGTCATGCCAGGTTAAGCAATATACTGCAACTTACAGTTATGCCTTGATTAAACCTAACGACAAACACCAAAATATGAGAAGCCTCAAACTTTTTAGAAGTACAAAAAAGCTGAGATTCTTCCACCAGAACTGATCATCGATACAAGAATGAAGAAGTTGCTTGCAAAGATGCAGAGTATGGATTAAGATAACATCAAATAAACACTTAGTGCATATGCTTGATTCCAAAGCAAAACATGTATAGATAAACACCAGCAACAAGAATAATAATTTTATCAATGATATAAGGAAGTTAGCTACAACAAAACAGTACATTTCTTTCAGGGCTAGTGAGAATTGCCACCCCCACTCGACCATTTTCTGACAGCAGATGCCAAGAAGCTCCTAACCCGCGATTTTGACAGTGTGGGTTGATCATTACTGCTTGAAGGAAGATCTAACGTCGCAATGTCATCCGTGAGAGCAGAGAGCTCCTCGATCCCACTTTCCTGAATCCCAGTCTCGCACATGCTCACATGCGGCTCCTGGAGCTCGACTGCATCCAAGCTGACAGCTAGCG